TGTTGATCAATTATTAAGTCATGTACTAACAGAGACTTGGAGGAGAGAGACCTAATATTTACTCTTTGGTTCAGATGTAGATCTTTACTAAAATCACTGAAGCCATAAAATAACCACCAGAAAACTCAAATGTTTCAACACGGGTGTTTATTGAAAGAAAAGATTCTGATTTTGAATAAATGAGCTGTAATTGTATTATTTTTGCTACATCTGGCATTTTTGTGACTTTATTCAGGTTTTAGAGAATAAAAGAAAAATCCCTCTGATGATCCAGAGACGTCAAAAACTCCTGTAAATGTGCCAATCAGTGAAAGATGAATCAATTTAAATGAAGCTGGCAGCGCTGCGTCTGGGAGGCAGAGGGGGGGACGTGGGGCGGCTCTGTGGGTTCAAAGTTCAAATCTTCTTTCAGGTGACTGCAAGTACAAGTTTGGGCCGTGGGGAAACTGCGACGCCGCCACCAACACCAAGACCCGATCAGGAACGCTGAAGCGAGCGCTGTTCAACGCCGAGTGCCAGGCCACCGTCAAGGTGTCCAAACCCTGCTCCCCCAAAGTGAAGAAGGTCAAAGGTGAGAGTCCTCAGTAACCTTTAACAGTCACTGCAACAGACGACGACACGATCGAGTCACGTGTAGCTTCTGGTGATGCTTTCGTAGCAATACTGTGATAAAAATTAAAAAAAGCCACGTTGAGTTCAGATAACCACATGCCACCAACAGAGAAAATGGAGGAGGAGCTTAATGACGTTGGTGTGCAGTCAGAGGCGGATCCTTCACTCTTATACAGACGAGAGGTTTTAGAAAGATTTCAGGCGAGTGAAGCAAAGAGAACATTTGACTGTGTTTGTAAAGCACAAGATGCCAAAAATCGCTGTTTCTGCTGATCAGAATCTCTGTTTACAAAAACTACACTGAAGTTCTGAAGGAGGCAGGGCTAAAGGTCAGGGGAAGGTGGCTCACCTGGTTCAGCTGGAAACTCACGTGCACAAGGCTGCAGTTTCCACGTTATCCTGTCAGATAAAGACTCAACAATAATACTCTGAAACCAGCAGGAGACAAAAAAGTTTCTCTAAAAAGGAGTTTTTCCTTCCCTGCT